AAATGTGAGAGAATGGTGTTGAGGACCAAAGGAATCTTTGTCTTCTAGTTTGTAAGTCACTGAAAGTTAATGCAGATGCAACAAACAATTAGGAGGGTAAATGCGGTGTTAGCCTTTATCACAAGCAAATGTGATGATCAATGATTCCTGCTTCAATTGTACAGCACCTTGGCAACAGCACAGCCTGAGTAATGTAGGCAGTACTGGTCGCCTTACCTAAGAAAAATCTCCGTTCCACAGGCTGAGTAAAGTGAATGTTTGCCAGATTAATTCATGGCATGTTGGGACTGGGGCAGTGATGAAAATCAGGAGCCCCAGTGATGCTCCTGTTCGGGGCATCAGTTCTTGTCCCCAAATACTCTTTAGAACCTGGGCTACAGTTATTAAGCCCTGATATATGCCCTGTACCAAATCCTGGGCAGGACTGTACCATCAGGAGAGGTTAAGGAGCTTAGGCCTGTGTTTGCCAGAGTTTAGAAGAATGAGAGGTGAAATTCTTAGAGGGCTAGACAGGGTAGATGGTGTGAGAATGTTTTCCTTGGATGCTGGACCTAGACAATGGAAATATCCTTGGAACAAATAGCTGGCTATTTAGGATTGAGGTGAAGAGAAGTTTTTTTCACTCAGTGAATAGTGATTCTTTGAAATTCTCTACCCCTAGGGCTGTGGAAGCTCATTCATTGAGTATGTTCAAGACATAGACTGATAGCTATATAGAATCTAATGACATCAAAGGATTCAGGGATAGAGCAGGAAAATGGCATTGAGGTAGATGATCAACCCATGATCTGGAAAGGTGAAGTAGGATTGAGGGTCTGAATGGCCTACTCCTGTGACCAACATTCCCTCTAAGAGCACAGCCACTCCAAAATTCTGTGCATTTAAACATAGGAACATAGAAGATAGGCGCAGTAGTCAGCCATTCGACCCCATGAACCTGTTCTGCCATTCAATACGATCGTGGCTGATCATCAAGCTCAGTAGCCTAATACCGCCTTTCCCCATATCCCTTGATCCTTTTAGCCACAACAGCAACTTACCTTCTTCTTGAAAACACATAATGTTTTGGTGTCAACCCACTTTCTGTCGTTGCGAATTCCATAACTCACCACTCTCTGGGTGAAGAAATTTCTCCCTGCCTTAGTCCTTAAAGGTTTACCTTATCCTTAAACTATGACCACTGGTTCTGGACTCCCCCACCACCCTGAATATCCTGCTGCATCTAACCTGTCTAGTTATGTTAGAACTTTATAGGTTTCTATGAGATGCCCCGCCCCACCCCACTCCACCCCCCATTCTTCTAAAGTCCAGTCAATCCTAAGCAACTCAATCTCTCCATATATGTCAATCCTGCCATTCCAGGAATCAAATTGGTAAACCTTTGCTGCACTCCCTCTATAACAAGAACATTTTCCCTCAGATGAGGAGACCAAAACTGTACACAATATTCTAGGTGTGGCCTCACCAATGCCCTGTATAATTGCAGTAAGACATCTTTGTTCCTGTACTGAAATCCACTTTCTATGAAGGCCAACATACACTTTGCTTTCTTACTGTCTGCTGCACTTACTTGCAGCAACTGGTGCACAAGGACACCCAGGGCTCATTGCACTTTCCCCTCTCTCAATTTACAGCCAGTCAAATAATAATCTCCTTCCTATTTTTTCTAACAAGTGAATGACCTCATATATGGAGCAGTGCGGAGCTGCTCAGAGCTGAGTGGAGCGGGCTGGAGACATGGAGAGGTGCAGAGTGACT